CAATGGCCTCTTGGCTCACTCTGCTTGGTCTGTCAGTATCAGGTGTGACTGTCACCTGGCTGTGCTGTTTGAGAAGGGGACATTGCACTGGTGCTCTGATCCCTCACAGCAGACACAAAGCAGATGTTACATTCAATAAAAGGGCCTTCTTTGATGAGTGAAAGAGGAGAGCAATGAATTAAGCTCAAAGTTTCCGGTGTTATTGTTTCCCTACTGTGCTATGCTTAGTCTACTGGCTCAAACCAAATGGAAGGAACTGTGAATGCCTGGGTTCTGATGCAGGGGAGGTGCACTGGTAAGCCCAATGCAAAGTGTGCTCGCAGCTTCTTACAGATGCTGCTGATGTGACAGGGTGTGTATATGACATTCGGAATACAGGCTGTCCACAATCACAACCTTTCTTTGAGAGCACTCTTGCTGTAGCCAACATTCTGTAAGTTTCATTGCAGTTTAGTGAGTGTTCTAAGAATGGCTTGTCCCACTCATGTGGCCTTATTACTTTGAGTTAAAGGGGGAAAAAACTGAAACCATCCATACTGATGCTTTGTGTGGGAATGCCACCAGGGAGACCACACAACACAGAAATCTTCAAACAAGGCAAGCATGAATGTATTCACCCCATAACCCATCTGCGCACCATATAAAAAGAAGCGCACACGGTCTGGATAGCCTACATTCCACAGGCAATGGAGCAAGCCCACAACAGAAGTATCTGGTAGACAAATGATGACATGTGGGGTTTAAGAGACGAAGGGGTGTGTGTTCAAGTTAGTGAAACTATGTTAACTGACTTTAAATCACATGCTCAAATATGTTCTCTGATTCTGAGAAACATATCAGGCCTTAATAAAGGACCTCCCAAAATAGTTGTGAACGGCAACGTTGCAAACCAGACTTTTCCCGCTCACCTAGCTGTGAGAACTCAACTTATCTCACTCCAAAAATCTATCCTGGGTCCCTTGCTGGGGACACCCTTCCTCAGGCCCTGTTGCTTTCAAGACCATATTTGATTTGGAGTGGCTGCCCCCGTGATTCAAAGAAACAGGACTTGTTCTCTTCAGAAAGTCTTCTTACCTGGGAAATTGCCTCAGTGACCTCAAAAACTATTGCTTGCACAAGATGAGGGAATGTTGAAACTTATTGATCTATTATTTCCTTAGCAATCTTGGAAAAAGACAGGACTTCCTAAGATCACCTGGTGAAAATCAGATTCCTCTATTGATTAAAATAACAGGGCAGATGGGGCTTCTCTAGCCCCCTCAAGGTATGAACTCCAGATGGGGCTTCTCTGGCCCCTTCAAGGTGTGAACTCTGCATACCTGGCCTTGCTTGGCAATGTTGGTCAAAGGCAGGTGCCAGGGACAGCGTGAACTCTGGGATAAAGGAACCCAGGACTTCCAACAGAGGCCGGTTTGGTCTTCCACTCTTGAGAATTCCTGGTTAGTTTTGGATTCTGGGTGTCCAAGTTCTTGTGTACCTGGAGGTCACTTCTTTAAGTTACAGAGTCCTGGCTGTCACTTCTGAAATTTTCCTTGTGCTCCTGATGTGCCTGTTCCTGGTTATTGTTACACTACAATCCAAGAGTAATGAGCACACCCTCTTTCCTCTATGAGTACTGACCACTGCTACACATAGGTCAGAAAGAAACAGTGAGTTTCCCTGAAACATGAGATGAAACTCAGAGGTACATTTGGCTTCTCTCTGTCTCCCCCACCTCACCCAGAGTTTTCAGAGTATTTACTTTTGCTTATGTTATCATAACACTAGTTAGTGAGCTGTTTCTATAAATTGGGACTAAAATCTGAAGTGTCTTTATGCATCACACTGCACTGTTTGGTACCTTCTTGTTGAAAAAGTGGATCAGGGTCGTCGCATGTCATTAACTCTGGGCTCTTTCACCATGTGGATTTCTCTCTACAGCTCAGTTTTCTTACTGCTCATTTCTAAATCCCACAGCTTGTAACTTCAATTACTAAACATTATCGCTTCCTCTAGCTTGGACGCCAAAAACCTGTAACTATTCTTGATTCCATAAGAAGCTAACTGGTGATATCTTATCCCATACCCTGGGGTCTACTTGCCAGATAATTTCTGTCACAAGACCTAGATTTTTTTAGACATCAGCTCTTGCCCAAAGTAACCCTGTCCCTGGCTGTCAGGCTTATAGTAAACCCTAAATGCCATGGGGGTAGCAATCATGACAAGAGGTTTGTTCCCTGAATGAAGAACACCTTATCCTGTGGGATCTGTACTGTCTTTTACCTCCCAGTCCCTGGAATCCCCCGAGATGTCTCATAGCACACAAGTCCCCACTCCCATTTCCAGCATCTGTCAACAAGATTACCTCAGATTGATAGACACAGAGCCTAGAGAAAGTCAAGGCTCTAGCCCAAGGCTCACTGTGGCATGGGGGTGGGAGTCTTGGGTTAACTTTATTACTTTAGTAATACTAAAGTAATGGAGTATGGCCAACCCTCATTGGAGACCCTTTTCTCCTTTTTAAGACCGCTGGTGCCAGAAGACTTCCTCCGGTATTTTCTATCTGCTCAGATTAAAAGACTCCTCTGGTTTGTCTACTTTGACTCTGTGGAAGGCTGTAGAATGAAGCTCAAAGGCATGGGATGGGTCAACTGAGGGGAGGAGGTCACTGGGTCAGGGTACCAGGTCTTAGCAGCAGAGCAAATGGAGGCAAATAAGTGTTGCACCCTCCCCAGCAGTGCCCCCACACAGATGCACCAGGAACTATTCAACTGTAGCCAGTGTTGCCTTGTCCAGCTGTGCACACCCATGTCTCTGCAAGGCACCTGATATGCCCCCATGTGTCACCATATGTGCATTCACAGCTGGAGTCCAGCCAGCCTCCTCCCAGATTGAACCCAGTCAGAGTTCTGGTCCTCTGAAAGGTGTGGTCTGCTGTCCATGGTGCTACCCAGAAGGAAGGAAAGACATGCAACCAAGGTGTCTGGGGAAGCTGATCCGTAGCAGACCTTCCTCAGAGAAGTAAAGCAAGTAACAGGTGGATCCTGGGCCTCAGGACATCAATAACCCAGAAGAAAGAGGTCAACCCAGTGTCTCTCCGCTGTTACAGGCACAAGCTCACTCTGGGTCCAAAGCAGTGCAAAACCTCCTTTTTATTTTACTGCATCTATGCAGGAATGAGAGCCCGGCTGTCACTTTCCTTCATTTTTCCCTTCCTCCTTAACCAGGTTGCTTATCCTGACCCCCACCCATCCTTCACCACCAAGCTTGCACTGTGGCATAGGGGTGGGAGTCTTGGGCTAGCTTCCATCAATGGCCTCCTAACCTGGGCGTGACCACAGCCCACACAGCATGCCCACAGTGTGTTTGCATCCCTATAAAGAAGGGCTTGCTTTTCCACTGTCCAGGGAAGCAGAAAAAGGGAAAGACTGGTCCCTTCCTGCAGAAGATCCTGCTAACTCATACTACTTTGAAATAAATCAACGAAGTTTTTGTCTACACTGTAGAGTCAGCTCAAATATTCTCTGCTCACTATGTGGTTTCACTTAATATCTCACAGAAATGAATTCTTGGTTTTTATGTTAGAAAAGAAGTATGTTTGTTCAACTGAAATAAATTTCCCCAGTGGACAGAGGATCACGCCTATGAATAAGTTACATTTACATGTATAGAGGTGAGTAGTGGTGAATTCCCACCTTGTGATCACCCGTAGAGAAAATACTGAGTCCAACACAGATAATAACTGTCGTTCCTGAAGACAGGTCTGGACTTGTCTCATGGGGCTAGACTTTATGTTTCTAAAAAAAAAAAAAAAAAGTTTCTTTGCCACAGAGCATGCATATACTACCCTGTACCCCAGAGTTAGGAGGAATCTCTTCTTGCATGGTGCAATTCAGAGGGAATGCCTTTAAAGATCCCATTTTATGTTGCTGGGTGAGAGGGAACTGGTAAAATAAGAGGTGGTCAGTTGTGCTCCGGAGACCTCTTACTTGGATTATTCTTCATTGTGAGACTGTGATTCTTCAAGGGAGGAATATATGATGCTTCATGCCATACCCTCTCCTACTTGGGACCCCAAATGAATTGGGGTCAATGTTTCCTTTTGAATTACTCGTGCCCTGCCACCAAGTCATACTTGTTCTCAGGACAACTTTCACTGTGCAGATTTCTAATGACTCTTTGGTAGATGCATGCAGTTGAAGACCTAGTGGGCCTTAGGAAAAAAGTAGCAAAACCACACAAAATGAAGGGAATGCTCATTTGTGTAGCACAGCCTGGCTCCCTAATCTCACTTTTCAAAATACTAACCAGTGAGCCTCAGATCTGTTCTTCAAATAATGGAAAACACTGTAGTCGAGTGTTATTAAATTTAATACCCCAAACAGATGTTCACCACCCCCAATAGATTGCTCACCTGATTGGAAACTTTAATATTGGAGTTCTTTTTCCAAACTCATTTGCTTGACCTCTGTTATGTCCGTATGTGAACTGGTTTGCTTTCCTTCGGAAATCTGATCATAAGGCTTGGTCCTTAATGAACAACATCTCTCCATTTATTTGAGGAATGGCTGTCACCCAGAGCCCCAAAGTGTAAGGGAGTGAAAAGTTGCTAAACAAGAGGGGTGCTCCTAGGTCTCCTGGTGAAAAAGGAAGATCCTTTTGGTTGCTTAATTAGACCTTTCTGAAAGGCTGCTGTGGCCTGCTCCAACTCACCTTCCAGCACGTCTCTGCCAGAAAGGACAGAATCTAAGGAGTTTGGGGTTTGCTGTGAAAATCCACAACTCTTGTGATAGAGAAAGGGCTTTTCCTTAATGAAGAAATAAGGGAGATTCTAAGAAACCACCCAAAATCACCACTGAAAAAATCTACTTTAGGTTCTTTTTGGGACCTCATGATACACAAAGACCATTATTTTGACTTTGAAAATATTTTATTTGAATAGTAAATATTTATACAGTTGAAACAGTTCTATTGAAGCTTTCTATAAATTGCTAACAATTAAGAAAATAATGTATGTAGAAAAGAGATTGCATTTAAAAGTAAGAGCTGTCGGTTGTACAGGGGCCTTGGGGCCCCTCAAGCAGAATAAAACGGTAGGTTGTCTGTAATTCCCTCAGATAATAGAAAAGTTAAAACTTTCAGCAGATCCCTTTAGAAAAAAGGTTCTCTTCTAAAATGCACAGTGAAATGTCAAGAATGTTGGGGGAAAGCTCACAAAAAAGAGGGAAGAATCTGCAATCAAATAATATCATAATCTTCATAATTAATATAAATAAATAAAGAATAAATAACAATTACTCATAAATCAACATATACATGTAGAGGGAACTCATATAGCCCTACCTCAACAAAGATGATCAAACCAAAACGTCTTCCATGAAATATTGAGGCAGTTACTACAGCATCTTGTGAAAACTCCTTTCCCTCCCCCCAAAACAACCCCAAACAGACAACAGGTCAAGGCATTTGTGGCTATACTAAAGAAAACTCTTTTTTTTTTTTTTAAGCAATTTGATTTGTTCACATACAAAAAGGTAAAGCCAGACTCCAGCAGTTCACAAGCCATAATAAAGCTAATCGTGTGGGAAGTTCATTTTACAGCCTGTGAAATATAAAGGCATTTATTCCTCAAGATTCACCCAAAACAACCCGTACGCTACAGACATTGAGAGCAGAGATTGGTAGGCAGAGCAAACCGCATTTTCTAGACCATGAACACAGCGAATACTAGCAAGAAAAACAGCTTCGCCCCTCAAGGGGAGGCTTCCAACCACGAGACAAACGCGTACAGCTTTTTTCTCCCCTGTACAGAAAGAGATGGACTCCTGTTGCGCCATGGGTGGGGAACACAACGCAAGGGGCTGGGGTCCAAAAGGAGTCACGAGAGGACCAGGGTTACCATCAAGCCACACCAGAGAAGCGAAGACGACACTTTGACCCCCGGGGTGGGGCAGGGGCGCCCCAGCGCAAGCATAGGCTCTGCAGGGCGCGCTCTCTTTGTGGGTCTCCAAGTGAAGGCACAGTTCTGGGGGCCGGGACCGAGGGCGCACTCTAGCAGGCTGGACGCACGGGCACCTGAAGGAGGATCACCTGTCTGTTCTCCGACGGGTGGCACTTGTTGATGTGCCGCGTCAGGCCCGGCGAGCTGTAGAAGGTGGCCGGGCAGTACTTGCAGGGGAACACCTGGGCGGCGTGCAGCAGGCGCAGGTGGCGCTCCTGGGCACCCTTACTAGGGAAGGTCTCCCCGCACACTGGGCACAGGTGGCACTCGGCGGACGCACTCAGGCCCAGCACCCCAGCCGCCTCTCCGTCGCGGGTCGCCTCCTGGGGTGCCTTTTCGTCGGGCCCCGCGTACAAGGCCAGTAGGTCCTCGTTGGACGGCGCAGGAGGTGCGCCCTTGGCCTGCAACGCCTGGTGGTGTGCCAGCAGGTGCTTGCGCAGATAGGCCTGGCGACGGAACTTCTTGGCGCAGTGGTGGCACTCATAGAGCCCATCCTCCGAGCCCGACTCGGATACGCCGCCAGGGCTCGGCGTGTCCCGGTCGCTGCCGGCGCCCGCAGCGTCGCGCGCTTCGGCCCGGGTGGCGGCTTCGGGCTCTGGCGCGCGGGCTGCGGCAGGCGCGGGGCGCGGGTTGTGCCAGCGGCGGTGCGAGGCCAGGTTGGCCGGGCAGCTGAAGACCTTGGCGCACTCGGGGCAGCGGTACTCCACGCGCACTATGCGCGAGCACTTGTGCTGCGCCAGCGCGAACGGGTCGGCGTACTCCTCCTTGCACAGCTGGCAGATGAACTCGCCCAGCGGCCGCGCTGCGCCTCCCGCGCGGCCCCGCGGCGCCTCCACTGGGCCCTCCTTGATCTTCAGCCCCAGAACGGGCGACGTGGTCACCTCGTCCTCGAAGTGCAGCTTGCGGATGGCCTTGGGCTTTTTGGCGCTCGGGGCCTTGGCGGCCTTGGCGGGCGGCTCCGCGGCCACAGCGGCGGGGGGTGCGGGCCGCTTGCCCGGGGGCCGCAGGGCACGGGGGACAGCGGGGGACCCGGGCCCGGCCCCCGAGCCGCCTCCGCACCGGCGGAGAACGCGGTGCCCATCTTAAGCTCGGCGGGCGCGAAGAGCAGCGCTTCTCCGCCACAGGTGCCGCCGCCGCCGCCCGCGCCGTTCGCGCCGCCGCCGCCCCCTGCCAGCATCGCGGCTGGCGTGGGGAAGGACTCGGCCGACACCGGCGAGCCCAGGTTGAAGCTGCGCTCGAAGTACTTGTGCTTCTCGTGCTCGCGGCTCACGGGCCGCGTGGGGCTGTAGAGTGGCGCGGGGTGCGCGGCTTCCGGGTTGCCGAAGTGCGCGGCCCGCGGGCCTGGCGGGGGTGGCGGGCCTGGCGCGCAGGTCGGCGCGGGCGCCCTCGCAGCCCGGCGACAGCAGCAACGCGCGGTCTCCGTCCTCGCCGCCACGGACCCGGTAGGACACGGGCGTGGACTTCTTGCTGCGCTTCACCAGGAAGCCGCGGGGCATGTTGGCGCGGCGGGAGGTCAAGGCACTGGCTGGGTCCCACCTCTGCGCTCGGCCCCGGCGCCCTCACAGCCCGCAGCCCATGGCCCGCGCACTGGCTTCGGAACTCGCGTGGCGGCGGCCGGCCCGGCTCTGCGCCCTGCACGCGCGTCCCTGTCCCCGGGCCCAGGAGCCGCTCCCTTTTAACGGGGGGAGGGGGCCATTGTTCTCGCCTCCCGCTTCCCCCGGAGCCAATCAGCGCGTCCGCAGCTCCTCCGCGGGGGAGGTTGGGAGGGCGACGGAGCGGCAAAAAGGGGGCCGGGACTCGAGGGTCGCCGGGTAGGTGCGGCAGATGTACCTGAAGGCGCCGGGCCCCAGCGCGCGCCCCTCGGCCTCCCTGCCCCGCCCCGCCGCGCCCGGCGCCACCGCCCCGCCCGGCCCAGGCACACGCCCGGGCCCGCCTCCTTCACGGTCTGCTGCTCGTCTATGGGGAGGCGCACGTGCCTGGGCTTTGTGTGTCTCCTCCGGGGGGCGCCGAGCCGCCAAATGGGCCCGTCCATCAGCACGACAATGCACGCCCCCCTCCCGCGCGGGGATTACCCGGGGGTCGCGAGCTAAATAGCAACAAAGGAGAAGAATGGCCCCAAATATGTCAGGAGGGTTCAATTCGCGAGCCGGAGCCCGGGGGGGCGGGGGGCGGGGGGGGGAAGCGGGGGCGGCGGAGGGAGCCTCAGGCTGCAAAAACGAAACCAAACTCGGGAAACTAGAAAACTTAAAAAGAACCACTCGAAATTCCCCCTCCGCCGATCGGCCAGGGGCGGGGGCGACCCAAGGGCTGCGGCTACTGCGGGAGCAGTGCGAGGGATGCGAGCTGCCCCGCGTGTGATTTGAGAATACTCGAGGAGGAAAAAGAGCTAGAAAGTCCCTACAGTCAGTGGACACGCGGGCCCGGGGTTTCGAGTGTGAACAAATCCCCGCGGGCCAGCGTGGAGTGGGTGCTTGCAGGCGGGCGCGGGCTTCGGGAAGCTTCCCTGGAGGTGGAGAAGTGGTGGCACAGCGCGGGGCAGGAGCAGGGGTCCGGCTGGCTGTGTTCCAGAAGTAACTTGAACATCGGAACTTTCTTTCCCTCGCCTAAGTTGCCTGAGGCTCTAGGGTTGGCATCAATGCTAGGCTGGGCCGGGCCCAGGCTTCTCTAGCTTCTTCGCTTTCCAGGGCTGAGTTAATGCCTGTCGGGTTGGCCAAAGCCGGCGAGGCGCGGTCAGCGTGGAGTGCGCGGTGAAGTTGGTGTCCACCCTCCCGCTCGGCCTCATGCATTTTCATTCCGGGCGGGCATTTTGTCTGCGGGTTGACATCAGATGCTAAATCAAGGGCTCCAATCAAGGCCCTGCGGAATAAAGCAACCTCCTGTCTCGGCGTCCCCCACCCCCACCCCCGGAGCCGTGCCCCCTTCACCTTTGTGAAGGAAATTAACCTCCCGCTATTGAGCGCCGGTCGCGGCCAATCTGGACGCAAAAGAGACGCGTGCTGCGGTGGGGGGGGAGGGGCAATCTGTCCTTAGAGACTGGCTGCAGCCTCCGGGAGGACTAGCCGCTTCCCTGGTACCACCGGGAAAAGATAACAGTGAAGGACACACCACCCCCGACACCGAGACCGGGTATCCCGTCCTGTGTCCTCTTCCCAGCCCAGCGCTGAGGAAACACAAAAGATAGGATCTCGGGAAGGGACAGAGCCCTAGAGTCGCAGTGGCTGGATCGGTCGTCACTGGGGGAACAAACAGCCAAGCCTCATCAAATGTCATAGCTGTTGGGGAAACGTCACTTTATTCAAAGTGAGGGAAACAGTTTTCTTCTGCAAAGCTCCGTGCGCCCAGATAGATTTTGCTGACTTTGGCTTACCCTTAATTCCACTGAAGGTATTTAATTGTTTTGGGGTTTCCCTCTGAAAATACCCTGGCGTGGAAATTAAACATAGTTTTTCAACAGAATCCACATGAGTAATAAACTGTGATGGGTACACTTGTTAGGGTGAGTTAACCAAGGGGAAAGATATTGGGTAATTTTATGTCTGTGATTTTCTTAACCCACCCACTGAATAGAGAAAAAATATGTAATAGTATGGTTTGAAAGTTCTTATTGTCGTTTAAATAATGTTAACTGTGATGGATGCTAGTCCTTAAAAGTTAGAATCTTAAAATGAATTTACAGTTTATAAGTGTGCTTCAGTCTGAAAGAACCTGATGTTATTTCCTCGCTCTTTTGAGCGCTGGTTAATATTGCTGATGAAATTAGAAGTGGGAAGGGATTCCCAGACAGTTTGGCCAATTTTATTTTCTAATCACGAATCCCATCTGGGTAGTGGAAAAATAGGGCGGGGCGCGCCTGCTACCCCCAACAGGATTATTTGGCCTTGCATATATAACACTCTTGTCATTCAAAAGATAACAGGGAGAGTAAGTGTCCTAATGTAGCCTCAAAAAATAATCAAAATTGGAAATGTGGGGGGGGGTGCGTTCGACTAACAATTTTTAAAAAATCCTTGCCCGAGGGAACTCAAACAGGACTCTAGGGAAATCAATGGGTCCTTTTCTTTTTGTTATTTCTCGTCCTGCAAGCGGAAATACCTGCTTTCAGATCGGAACAATCAAAATGAAAACTTGGAAGGCCCAAGTGTTCGAAGTAATTTCCTAACCCACATGGGAGATAGACCAGTTGTGCGCACGCACGCTCCAGCCACCACCACCCCAGTCCCCGCCCCGGCAGGTGCAGCCTTGCACTGGTGGTGCGTATCTGTCCATCCTCTTTTGCGTGATTTTCTCAGAACTTGCGCGCAGGCGGGAACTGGGATTTCGGGTCCTGCGGTTTGTCTTCCCAAGGGAAGAGCAAAGAGCGCCTGCGGCCTGCCTCGCCACAATGTGATCCATAGTAGGGGCGGCGGGGAGTAGGGCTGGGGAAACCCTGACTTTAGTTTGCTTCCTTCAAGGGGGATTTTCACGGGAGTCCGTGGGTAGAAGGACCCGAGGCCTGGCACTCAAGAGTCACATCAGAGCGACTCGTCCTGTCCCTGCGGGGCCCTGGCGGGCGCCTGGGAAAACACTCAAGCCTCTGCGCCTCCGGTCCTTGTAGACCTGGCTGTGGGTGCTTCTCCCATAGCTGCGGAGCGCATGGCTCGCTGCGCTCCACCATCTCCTGTCCCTGTGCCTGCGGCTGCCGTCGAAACAGGCGCCCGGGCTCACTGTAACTCCCAGCTCAGCTCCGAATGAAAGTTGAAGCTGCAGGGAATTTCTAGAAAGCGCGAATCTGAGTCATGAGCTCCGTCTTCGGGAATTTCGGCGAAGGAGTTTTGTTTCTGAGGCTCTGGCAGAGGAATGACAGCCTTGAACACACTGAGGGGAGGAGACCGGTCCGCCAGCGGTCTCAGCCCACCTCCCGGAGAGCGTCTAGAGTCCCGGGTGTGGACTGGGGGTGTGGAGGAGATGACTCTAGTGTCCTCTCCGCCATTCTGCAGCAGACCCCTCTCCTGGCTTAACACGCTCCCATTCACAGTCCCTGGTCCCCGCAAGTCAGGGCTGGAAAGCACCCTACGCCCTCGTCCCCGTCCCGCGTCCACCGCTGGGCCCGGAGCGGGGGAGAGGTTTTGCGTTTGCAGGAATGAGGGGTTGTCCTGTCGGTCCCCGGGGCACGCGAGAGACACGCGTAGGCCTCTCGCCGCCCCGCCCGGCCCGATCCGGCTTCCCCGCACCTTCCGGGCCCCCACCCGCTCGCCCTAGCCTTTGTTCAACACATTAGCATAAAGCTGCCACGGATCTCCCGTTTAAATAATTCCACACAAAAGGAGAGTGCATGAAAGAGAGCGAACAAGGGCGAGGCCGCGCTGGGCGCGGGAGGGACGCGCTCTCAAGTGTCCCCTCCCCTCGAGAGCCCAGGGCCCGCAATCTGCCGCGCGCCCATTATGCGGCCACAGCTTTCATCCCCCGAGTGTGCCGTCGGGCCACCGCAAGCTCCTCGGAATGCCCTCAGGGCTGTTTATTTTTGCTTCGGATAGGGACTAGGGAGGGAGGACTGGGGTGGTTGGTCCCCGCGCTAGGCTGCAGTAAAAGGGGATGTTGGTAAACTGGCTAAGGTGAAGCCAGAACATGTCAGGAAGAGCCCAGGTCAGAACTGACCCACCAGGATGACACTGACCGAGGATGCAGACCAAGTTTGCGTGCACTGCGCCCTGCGCCCCACCCCGCCCCCGAGTCTGAAAACGGACAGAAACCGAGCCAAAACCATAAGAGAAGCCGGCGACCCCTCGGCCTCCACACATCCACAGCCTTGGGAGCCGAAGGGCGCTTGGGCCTCAGCTTGCCTGGGCTCTAGGGCAGGGCGGGTGTGTTCCTCCCACCACTTCCCTTCTGAGCGGGCCTCGGTCCCTCTCCTCGCGTCTCTCCATCCGTTCCGTCCTCTCTCCCTCCTCCTCTGGCTCTTTCCCTCCCTCCTTCCCCTGGCTCTTCCCATCTTCCTTTAATTAATTGCTTTCTACCAACCTTTCTACCTCTCCCGGTTCCTCAGGCCTGTCTTCCTGTCCCTTCTTCTCTTCCCGTCTCTTCTGGTCTTCCCCCTCACTTCCAGTGCCCCTTGACCCCCGAACTGTCTCTCTCCCCATTTCTTCGAGTTCCCCTGGGTGTTTCTCTGCCTCTCCGGACTCTCCCTTCCCCGCTCTCCTTCGCTGTCCACCTTCGGTCTCCCTCTCCCTCTTCGGTTTTTTCTACCCTCTCCCAATTTTTCCTTCTCTCTTCCCCTCCCTCGCTCTTCCCCCACTCTTTGCCCCTCTTACCCCCCCCCCCACGGGCCAACGTGTGTTATTTTATTTGTCTAGAGAGAGCCTATTTGTTCAGTGATGTGTGGCCTCCTGGTCGCCTGCTTTCATGGGGGACGCAGAGGCTTGGTTTCAGTGAGCATTAGCATACAGCTGCCGGCTCCCGCCCCCGGCCCCGCGCTTACTTTATCCGCCTTATCATCACTTCTCTCTGCCAGAAAACAATCAACAGCTCCTCTAGACCCGACTTCCCAGCCCTGTTCCTGCTAACGCGGGCTCACCCAAGTGCATTCTGTTCTCTCTTTTCTCTCTTTCTCTCTCTCTCTCTCTCTCTCTCTCTCTCTCTCTCTCTCTCTCTCTCTCTCTCTCTCTCTCTCTCTCTCCCCTCCCCCTCCCTCCCTCCTCTCTCTTTGTAAATATTGATTGGTTGTTTTTTGTCCCCCCAGGCAGAGAATTTTTTTCTCTCTTTCACATCATCTCTTACTTTCTTTGGAGTTCCTGTGACATTTTGGGTGCAATAAAACCAAAAGGGGATTTTTTTTGTGTGTGTGTGTTTCTATTTTTCCAAGGAGGTGTCTACACTCTAAGAACTGACATGTGTGAGATCCTTAGAGGCATTAACTTTGGTATTTTCTAGACAATATCCTTTGGTTAAAATGACTGAATTCCAGGCAGAGAGCAGGTGGAAACATCCCAGGCAAGTGGGAAATCCTCAGGGCCTCAAGACTTTACCTTCGCTACAGAATATATATTCTGTACACCTAAACAAGTTCAAGGGTTGGTCTCTGAAGTTTTATTCTCCTAAAGCCCTTAAGAGTGTCATTCTCTGTGACCAGTGGCCCTGAGGTCTTCACTTAGGAAACTTGTTCTCAATATTTGTATATATATGCCAACTTCCTAAATTCAGGAAAACTTGTTTCTAAGAAAGGGACAAAGATTGAAATGTCACCAGGCAACCTTTATAAGCTGGAGGATGCTTTAGATGTTTTCAAATGTGTTATGATGCTTAGGGACATCCAGAACTACTTTTTTAAAGACAGCAAAGAAAACACTGCTGTTATCAAATTTATGCATGACTTGGTATTAAGGTTAACATAGTCATCTGGGGTTGCTTTTGTGTGACTAGAGGCTTTATCATGGTAATACTTGGTCACAGAAGTCCTAACTGTTGATCCTCTGACTTTGTTCTGTTAATCTCCATCCCAGTGTCCCAGAGCCTGCCACCTAAACCAGCCATTTGCTGATGAGTTTGACCCAGGTCCTCTTGAAAGGGGAGGAGGGAAGGAAGAGAGACCCTGGTGTCTGAGTCGACTGGCTCAGCAGATCCTGAAATATCTTGTCTGAATTTTGAGGTGTGGACCAGGAGCCATCGGTCCCCATTCAAGTGACACAGTTTGTAACATATGGCCAATGCTACCGTCCCCCTAGATGTCCCATGCATGTGTGTTAAACCTATGTGTGAAGGAATCAGTGGCATTTATGAGTTGCTTTGGTTTGCTGTGGAAACATAATTCAATGTTCTGAAACAGTTTTGGTGTGAGGCATCTCAAACAATTTGGTAGTTTCAGGTGCCTGGCAGCTTGCAGCAGGGTTGATGGTATGTGTGGACTTCTGGATTGCCAGCACCCACGCTGCCTTAAGGATGGTGGGGGAGCCTCATTTTTTGCTAACTGCTGACATAAATGCAAAGGTAGGGGAAGGTTGAGAATAAAACTCAGTATTGAGTTTATGAAAACTAATTTTAATTTTAGGCCCTCTGGTCAGCTGTGCCACACTGTCTACTACATGACTTTTCCTTACTAGTTCCTGAATCATGTGTTTTGAGGGTGGGCAATCAACTTACTTCGTTTGTAAGAGAGAAGGTTCCTTTGTTTGTTTATTTGGGATGGGGGGGTGGTGTCTCATTTTGTAGCCCAGGCTGGCCTTAAAATCACTATATTATAGCTCAGGCTGGCCTGAACCTCACAGCCTCTCCAGTACTGGGAAGGACTAAAGATTTCTGATCCACATTAAACATGACAGGGACCAGCCCTCCTCTCCACCCCCATGCCCCCCCCAACCCCTTGCTCCACCAAGTAACAGCAATTAGGGGCAGAGAAAGTGAATGAGATGAACTTCCTTCTGTATCTTATGATTTGAAATCTATGTGTAAAGCTCTGGGACTTCCAGTTTTTCTCTGACTTTATGATCATGGTCAGCAGAATTAATTTTAAAAAACATAAGTACTGTGAAAGTAGCTTCCTTAGTTTCAAAAGGTCACATAGGTTCCACTCAGTCCTCTTGAGGTGGATTACAAAACTAATTTCTCATCATCTGTTCACCATTTTTTCATTCTGGGCACATGATTTTCTTTTTAAATCACCCACAAGTAACTTGTCAAACATATAGAAGGCTAACAGAGCAGCAACAGAACATTCCAGGAACTCAAACAGAATCACACCCAAGGTAAAGACAAGCTTTATCTAGTAGGACCTCATTTTATCGAAAGAGTGGATTATTCTGCACAGAACAAACCTTGTATTTGAAGCTCCCTGCCCCAGCATTGCTGTACGGCCGAGCGCCACCTACTGGAGGACAGGGGAATGACAGAAAAGAATGGACCAGAGACATTTCTGTCTGAACTTCCAGGACCAGAGAGACTGAAGTGGTGCCTGGGAGCCGGGAGCCGAGCTGCAGCTAAATGATGCCGGGCCACGCGTACATGGGCAGGTGGTACTTGTTGTGGTGAAGGTAGTCCAGGATGCCCCTCTCCAGCAGATTTTTGTATATGGAGTCCTCAAAAGCCCTTTGGAGGTATTTTTGGGGCTTTTCATTCAGGATTATTTCCTCATCCTCTACCTGGTGGACTAGCTGCTCCATGGAAGGCAGATTTTCCTCCTGTAAATACAGAAAGAGGCCAGAGTCAGAGCTTCCTGGCACTGAGCACCACCACTGCAGGGCAGTGCCAGCTCACCAAGGATGGGAAATTTGCTAGCTCTGTAGAAATTATTCATAATAGAGACCAAGTATACATAATGTACAATGTATCAGTCTTATTTTCAGTGGACAGTTTGGTGGCATTAACTACAGTCATGCTGTTGCACAACCACCATCCATCTCCAGAGCATTTGCATCTTCACAAACAGGGACATGCAGTTCCCCTTCCCCAGGCCCTGGCAACCTGGGTTTTCCTTTCTGTCTCTAAGAACTTCACTGTTCTGCTGGGGGACCTCAGATGAGTACAGCCACACACTTTTTGTGACTGGTTTCACCACAGATGTTGTCACCACAGATGGTCATTTTAAGCCCTTAGCTTCTCAGATAAAATTACACACGAAAACCCTTAGGTGGTTTCTTGCCTTGGTTCTTGCTAAGGAGCAGGTTTAAGACCCTCAGAATGAATTCTTACTAATATCTTAAACATCAGACTTAGAAAGAATAAAGTTATTTGAGACTCACAGACTATGCAATCCATAAACAGTAGAGATTGTCTGACACATCTTGTACAAATTTTTAAGCACAGACACAAGTTGACAGACGGCACAGTGCACCCACACACCTGCACACCACCTGACTCCTGCAGGTGGCCCTCGATGTGTTTGCTCCATCTCCACACTCCTGACCATCTGCAGCAGGGTTGTGATTAAAAAGCACTTCACCCAGGTTTGAGCTGTGTGCTCTCCTGCACGTTGACTGTTGAACATCACCTCAAACAAAAGCCATGTGGCCTTTCGAGTTATGTTTACGGCAACTTCCAATATTGGCTTTTATTTCAAAGAGAAAAAACTGTGAGCTACTTGTGGGGTTCTACTGGACCATTACTTTATTGATAAGAACTCCTAGATAGAGGACCCAATTATATGAAGGTCATTACCACCTGGCTATTTAAGCAAGACACTATCAGGCTTGAGAGATTATAAACACAGAGTTTAGAACAGTCAGGGCAAGTTACAGAAAATCAGATTTAAATAAACTCTACAAAGGTTGTGGGTGGGAAAAAGGCAACTGATGCAAGAACTAAATGCTGGAGGTGCTGAAAGTTCTTTAAAATATTTTTTAAAAAATTTTTATGTGCATGAGTGTCTTGTCTACATGTATGTAAGTGTATCAGTCCATGAAATGCCCAAAGAGTCCAGAAGAAGGTGTCGGATCCCCTGGAACTGGAGTTTAAATAATTGTTAGGTGCCATGGGAATGCTGGGAACTGAACCCAGTTCCTGTGCAAGAGCAGCCAGTGCTCTTAACCACTGAACTGTCTCTCCAGGCCCCTGAAAACTCCTAAGAGCTAACTGCCAGCATGGCACATGGTTATAGTTTGCAGTCTACATGAGCGTGCTTCTTTCTTCAGTTTTTCTGGAGAATTCTATCATACCAACACCAAACAAGGAACTGAGAGAAACTTGAACTGACTGCTGTGCAGTGCTGTTCTACAGTAGAAGGCTGTGCACCCCTTACCTGATGTGTGATCTCAGTCTGGCACCTGTCACCTCTCCCTCACACATTGCTCCTCTACCGCCAGCTCTTTCTGCAGCACTTCATGTCAGAACTGACCTACTGTGTCTGAATTCTTTATTTATTTTATTTTATTATTATGATTTTTAAAAATATTTATTTTTATTTTATGTGTATGAGTGTATTGCCTCCATGTATGTGAGTGCACCTGTGTCATGCAATGCCTGTAGAAGTCAAAGAGGACATTGGATCCTCTGGAACTGGAGTTACAGATGGTTGTTAAGGGCCATGATCAAACCTGGGTCCTCTGCAAGAGCAATCAGTGCTCTTAAGTGCTGAGCCATCTCTCCAGCCCCTGAATTCTTTTTTTGAATATCTTGCCTTTTATAATCTTCTGAAAATTCCTTTATTTTTAAATTTAACTTTTACTTATTATTACTATTATTATTGTTATTATTATTATTAAGACATGGTCTCACTCTGTAGCCCTGACTGGCCTGGAACTCACTATGTAGACAAGGCTGGCCTGTAATTCACAGAGACCCACTGCCTCTGCCTCCTGAGCTGGGATTAAAGGCGTGCGCTACCACTCTTGGTCCTTTAAAGATTGATTGATTGATTGATTGATTGATTGATTGATATTTTTGGAGAGTTCACCACTTTATTTAATGCAAAGCTCAAGCTTTGAAAATGTGGGTCCCATCCACAGATGCATAAAGTATTATTTTTAACCCAAAATAACTGTGTATATTTATGGGGCACCATGTGATGTTATGATGCACATATACCTTGTAAGATGATCAAGCAAGTCTGATTAGCATATTCATTATCTTGCACACTGATCATTTCTGTGGTGAGAACCTTTGAAATCTACCCTTATAGCAATTTTGAAGTCACTGTACATTATTATCGGTGTCAGTTAACAGGCTGTACAACAGATCACTAAAACTCTTGCCAAAACGACATTTTACCTTCCCTCATTCTCCCACCCTGGCCAACCTCTGGTGGCCACCATCTTAGTCTCTGTTTCTATGTGTTCACTTTTTCAGAATCTCTGTTTATGTGAGATTATGTAGAGCCTGGCTTCTTTCACTTAGCTTTATCTCTTTCTCTATCTCTTTCCTTGTTTTTAGAAAATTGTAGCAACCCCAGTGAATATGGTAACCCCAATGGTCTGCCAGTGCAGTTCTGATTTTTATTTCCTTAGTGACTAAAATCGTTGAGCCTCTTTTCATGTAAATGAGCATATATATGGCCTCTGTTTACTTATTTGTTTATATATGAACTTGGTTTTGAGACAGGGTCTCATTTTGTAGCCCAGGCTACAAAAATGATCTTCCTGCCTCAGCCTCCCAAGTGCCAGGATTCCAGGCATGAGACAGTGTCTGGCTCCATCTGGACACTGGATTTCATTCTGTTTATGTATATGGCTGTGATATATATGGCGTGTGCAAGTCCCACGCTGATTTCTATTGCTTTGTAAGTAAGTTTTGAAACCAGAAGTGATGCCTTCAGCTTTCTTCGGTTTTCCCTTGAAGACACTTTCAGCTATTTGAAATCTCTTGTATGATGATTGTATGAACCTTTCTACATCCATTTTTTTAAGTGTCCTTGGTATTTTGACAGGATTTCATTGAATTTGTAGCCTGTTTTAGGTGGTATTGGCATTTTAACATTAAGTCATTAAGTCCATGAACATAGATGCACCTCTATTTATTTAGGTCTTCTTTGATTTTGTTCAGAAATGTTTTGTAGTGTTCCGTGTGCCAAGTCTTACACTACTTTGATTCAATTTATTCCTAAGTATGTCATTCTTTTTGATGTTATGCATGGAATTGTTTTGCTAATTCCATTCTCAGACTGTTCTCTGCTAATGCAGACAGCTAATTATTGTGTGTTGATTTTGTGTCCTACCATTTTGACAAATGCATTTATCAGTTTATTTACTTATTTTCCAGATTCTTTAGGGTTCTTCCATCTAAGAAAAGTAAGCGTTTTCTTTATTCCTTTCCCAGGTGCCTTGTGTTTCTTCTTCTTGCTTCATTGCTCTGCCTAGAACTTTTGGACAATGTTGTGTATAAGTGGTGAAAGGAGTCAGACTTGTCTTATTCTAGATCTCAGTATTAAGGCTTAGGCTTTCTGTCATTCATTGCCCAGTCTGGTGTTAGCTCTGGAGTTTGCATAATTTATCAGAGAGTGGAAATGACCTACTAGTAGTTTTTTTTTAAAAAATGTGTGTATATGTCTGTAAATGTATGCTGTTTTGTGTGTGTGTGTGTGTGTGTGTGTGTGTGCGCGCGCGCGCGTGTGTGTGTGTGTATGTGTCTGTGTCAGATCCCTTGGAGTTGGAGTTACATGTTATTGTGAGCTGCCTTATGTGAGTACTGGGAACTGAACTTGGGGTTCCTTGAAGAGCAGGAAGCACTGCACCTGGTCCACATCTCTCCATCCCCTACTGCTAGTTTTTAAAGTCTCTTTACCATGAAGGTGTGATTTTCTTTTGTTTTCCTTTCCTTCCTTCTTTATTGTTCTATTTTTGGAATCGGAGCCTCATGTGGAAATTGTACTCAAACTTGCTATATAGCTGATGATGACCTTGAACTCCTCACTCCCCTGCCTCTACCTCTCAAGACCACACCTGGCCTTACCTTTTTCAGGTGAGACAGCTTTGCTCTTCTCTCATTCTAAAATGTTGACCTGCTCACATTCCTGGGGTAGGTCCCACATGTATGGTATGTAATCTATTTAACATGCTGTTGGATTTAGCTCGCTAATATTCTGTTGAAGATTTTTACATCTAAATTCATAAGGGATACTAGTCTGTAGTGGTTTACTTTAATTTTTTAAAAGTGTTTTCCCTTTGTGATGTCTTTGTCTGGCTGTGGTATTAGAATATTGGCTCCCTCCTCTTCTCTCTTTTTTGGAAGAATTTGGAAAAATTGATATTATTTAAATGTTTGGTTTAAATTAAAATTGGTTTAATTAAGTGATCTAGTTCTAGGTTTTTCTTTGTTGAGGTGTGTGTGTGTGTGTCTGTGTGTGTGTGTGTGTGTGTGTCTGTGTGCATGTGCCTCTGAAAGCAGAGGTCAACCTTGGGTCTCATCTCATGTGCTTTTCCACACAGGGTCTTCCTGGTCTAGAACTAGCCAAGTAAGCTAGGCAGGCTGGCCAGCAAGTTCCAGGTATCCACCTGTCTCTGCTTTCCTAGGGCTAGGATTACAAGTGTATGTCACCATGCCTGGTTTTTTCCTTCTGGTTTTCGTTCTTGTTATGTGTGGTCCAGAGATTGAATTCAGATCCTCATGCTTCCATGGTGAGCATTTTACTGATTGAGCCAAGGCCCCAGTCCTGTTGAGAGGTTTTTGATTACTGATTCAGTGTGTGTGTGTGTGTGTGTGTGTGTGTGTGTGTGTATGTATCCCAATCTTTTAAATTTTTAAGTAAATAAAATTTATTTGAATTAATTCTTTGAGAATTCTATATACTGTATTTTGATCACATTAACTCTCTTCCCCCAACTTCTCCCAAACACCACATATTTTCAAATTTTTACTTGTTATAGATCTGTTGAGATCTTCTGTTTCTTCTTGAGTTAGTTTTTAGTTTGTATGTTCTAGGAGCTTTCACTTTTATCTAGGTGTCTGCTAATCAGATGGCATAGAATCATTTATAAGCTGTCTTCTAGTCCTCTCTTATTTCACAAGGTTATAGTAATTACACTTCATATATTATGCTTCATGTTTGAGTGCCTACACTTCTTTGAAGATGAGAGAGAGGGAAATGAAATTTGTAAAGACATCTCAATATTTGAGAGCAGGATTTACTTCTGATCTTCAGTCTTATCAGCCTCTTGTAGTTTGCCCTTCATATCCACAGGTTTCACGTCAACAGATTCAACGAATTAGAAATCAAAAATATTTGGAAAAAATTAAATTGCAACTGTATTGAATGGACTCTTATTTTTTTCTTGTTATTATTCTCTAAATGATGTAGTTAAAGCTCCACAGTGTTGTAGTAGGCATTGAAAGTGACCTAAAGATGATCTAATAATGTATGTAGAAGGATGCATGGGTTCTATGCAAACACCATACCATTCAATCTAAGGAACTTCAGCATCTTGTGTGTTTACTATGCTTAGGGGTGCTTAAATCAGGGTCTGAAGAGTGTCTATACACACACTTCAGTTTGAATGACTTAAGCACTATCTGACTTTCACATTTAGTCACTGGGCTTCTCGCTCAAGGCCATACAGGATTAACTAGAAGTTAGGGGACACATTTCAAAGCCTCCAAGTTCAGTAAGAACTCTGACTCTTTAATGTAAAAGGTTCTCTTACTGACATTGACCTGTTGGGTTTATATCTAAGTGGATCCTAAGAATGTCATTTTGGTTTAAACTTTAAAACGATGCTTCCCAGTCTGAATGTACTTCAAATTAGCAAACTGTACATTTCCCAGTGGGTGACTTGTGGGTCATATCGGAAAAATGGGAAGTCAGAGTGAAGAGAAGGCACTAGACCTATGGTTTGACCTCCATTCCTAGCTGGCAAATGACAAAGTTTTGAGTTTGAAGCTTGTTGGCCAAACTACTGGGTAAGCCACAGTGGGTTATTTAGGATCTGTAATCTTCAGTTTCTCCACTGGTATAGGGTCAAAGGTGGTAACAAGGCTATACCTTCACCCACCTTACAGGGTTCTGTTATGCAAAGTGAGGTGGTGCAGGTTGGGGCTAAAATGTGTTAAATGTTCCCTATATGATCTCTAACTGTGCTGTTCAGTATGGCAGCCTCCACCACAGAACCTGCAAGGCTCTCAAGTGGTGACAATGGAGATGTAAGAATTGCCCATTCAGACATTAGAACATTAGAAGCTAATGCAGACACAGGTGCTGGTCTTTGTGAATCAAGGCAGAGTCTATGATGGATATCCCACCACTCTGAGCATAGATACTAGCTTCCCAGCTACGTTGAGGACTCTAGGATTGATCAAATTAACATAAAAGTTCACAAACACCTTATTTTTACATAGGCATTTGCTGAGCATGAGTTTTTGGGCTATGTAGTCTAACTTCCAGATAATTCTCTATCACTTTGAGAAAGATGTTTTGGTTATAAAAGGAATCCAGGGGTGACTTCTCTCTTTATTTTTCTTGAAGTAGAATCTCATGCAGCTCAGGCTGATCTGGAACTTGCCATGTAGCAGAGAATAACGATGAACCCCAGATCCTCCTGCTTCCACGTTCGAAATGCTGGGATTATAGGGCTATGCCACCACAGCTGGCACCTTTACATTTTAAAACAACACACACACACACGTGCACGCTCGTGCAACAAATAGCCAATAATGGATAAAGACTAAAGGAATGTAATCTTCATTCTAGATGGCAAGTAAATACAACCCATATTAGTTTTCAATCAACTTGGTCAGTCAATAACAAAAATGCAGTTATTTGTGAAAAGGCAGAGGAAATGTACTGCCCAGAAAAGAATTTAAGTCAGTCACTATCCCTGAGATATCCATTGTCTACATTTACAGATCCCATAGTTAATTTAAGGAAGTACAGGGGGTTAAAAAGCCACCATGAACTGGGAATGTAGAGGAAAGTTCAAATGATCAGCTACTGTCAACTCCTTACAATTTGCAAGGAATAACACCCACATATCCATTAATCACTCTTACCTGCTTGGAGATTAAGATTTGGCGCAACTCTTTCTTAAGATCAATAAAACGATCGTGGAAGATGGCCATGCACCACGGCTCCGTGAAGTAGCTGGCGAGGGAAGGAGAGATTCAGTTAGCTGGCAACCCTCTCATTACCACTAATAAAGTATTTACCTGCTTTTTTTGCCTTGATAAATTACAGTTCTGGCCCCATTGCAATCGTTTGCTCATAAAAAGCCTAGCAGAGCAGCCTGGCCAATCAATTTTTTAAATGGATGTTCCTGATGTAAGGCCAGGCTCTATAATTACATTTAAAGTGGTTTAATTCAGAGCTGGGGCAAGACCCAGTGAAGAATCCTGATTTTATCAGAATTTAAAAGCCTGAAGACTTGTAAAGAACGGTGTCTCCATTATCTGCCCTCATTTGAGAAAAACAGATTGCAGGATTAACTGAACTGCTGCATAAACAAATTAAATTTGGGGAGAAAATAACACAAATGTTGCTTGTCATTAAGGTTTCTGGATTAATAATGAGCAGAAAACAGGCCACCTCGGTGTTGCAACCTGGTCTCTGCACACTTGTGCTGACACTTCACCCAATGGCTTTTAGAGGAGCTGCTCTTTTGGAGTTCATATTTGCTAACTGTTCACTGCAGGCTGAGCAAATGCCCATCTTACGTGGAGAACGACATGACCATCCGTTATTTACAGTGCTTTGCTGAAGATCTGATGCATTCTTACAATAACGAAGCATGCCTACTGACATTTTTAACCCCTACTTTCTTTTAATGTTGTGTCTGGGGACAGGAAACTTAGCTTCTTCAGGGTGTGAGCCAGGCGGAGTGTGTAGATTTTATGCTTCTCTGGAACAGTGACTAGCTAAGTCTGTCACTGTTAATAGGTACTGTGTGTGTACATGGGAAGAAAAAGCTCGCGCCCAGGCAGAAGAGCACCTCCCTGTCCCCCCAAGACTTAAAGTTAAGGACAGGGCCATCATACATTAGAGGACGAAGATCACAAGGGTCTGTGCTCTGTCAGCTTGGCACACAGCTGCTTTAGTTGTTACCCACCACCTATGCATTCAAAGAGAATTTGACCTAATTTCCTGTGTAATTGCCAACTGTTGTTCATCCAACCTTAGTTCTAATATTATCTACCCCTTGCTCACTATATCCCCAGCACTTCCCCAGGTACTAGAGAAACTGCGGGGACCAAAACAGACACATGTCCCTGAGACCATGGAGCTTATGTTCTTAAAGATTGCTGAGCCAACACTTAAGTAAAGCAAAGACAGGATGCAAACTGCTGAGGAAGGAGAGGACAATGAAAGGTTCAAGTCTGAGTCAGTGGCATAGTGAGCTAAAACCCAAGGGAAGGGAGAGAGGAGAGAGAGTTACATGAAAAGTATTCCTAAGAGGGAACAGAAAGTGTGAATACCTAGAGGCAGGAAGGGGCCTGGACACTTAGGAAGATGGGATGGAAAGTCACAAAGTAGGGTGGGGACTTGGAGGTGATGGACAGATAACTTCCCCACCTCCAGCGGAGGGATCTGGTAACATCCACTGTGGGATTGTCCTATGGGTGCCTGGCTCAGTTGCACACAGCAGGCATTTGTGAATGCTGACTGAATGAGCACACTTTACACTGTATACATTTTCTACCATTTGGCTCTAAATGGTCTCTCACACATGTAGATTGAAATTTTGCTAAATAAATAGGTGGCCAAACTCTGCAAAATGTGGACTGGGCAGCATCAAGAAAGGGAGCTGGGTGTGGTGCATGCCTGAAATCCCAGCGTTTGGGAGATCAGAGTCCAGCCAGCATGCGCTTCATGAGTTCAAGGCCAGCCTGAGCTACATAGTGAGCCACTGTCTCAAAAAGCCAGGAACCGACAGCTACTTATTCTCCATACTTTGACCAGTTATGAGTCTGCACAAGTCACCCACTACAAACATGGGCTTTTCTGACCCAGCACTAATCTATGGGTATAGACATATATTCAGAAGGCAGCTTGAGACCTTGTCCATTTAGCAAAGCAACAGGAGCAGGTTCCCTCCTACGGCTTATGCCCTTACGAGCCGAGCCGTGGGGTTTTGACCAGGTTTATCTATATCACTCCCTCTAAGATTCAGGGAACATTGCAGAAGACGGGGATGAAAGAAAGTAAGCGCTGGAGGATGGAGAAGAGTGTTGTGAAACGCTGTCTTCTGGATATGGCACAGCTGCTATACTGTAGCTACCCAAAGAAGACCTGTAAAAGATGGGGTCTATGACCATTCTATCCTGGATGGGTCAGGGCTCATGAAGCCCTACCCCTCCCTGAGGAACTACTGGCAGTTAATGGTTGCTGAAGAGAGAAAAGTTATTTTCTTCAATGGTATAGCCACTGGTCACTTGCTCATGTTCCAGTAAATAACCCCCATCCATGCTCTATAACCTATCAGTTGCTAATGCAAAAGACCTGAATTAAACTCAATGGGTCACAAAGAAGCCAAAATCTAAAAAAACAAAGCAGTGACAACAACAAAAGACACGAAAGTAGTGGGGGACCTGTTGGGAAGAAGAAGGGGTTCAGCAGAAGCAGGAGGACGGTGGAAGAGAGTAATGGGGGTAAAATGAGCAGAATACATTATATACATGGATGGAATTGTCAAATAAGAAAAAATAAAATCAATCTAAAAACTTAAAAGTGAAAAATGAACTGCTGAATACTGGGAAAAGAAAAAAACAGGGCAACAGGGCTGAGGGTGTGAGTGATAGTAGAACACTTACCTAGTATGCACAAGGCCCTGGGTTTGATCCCCAGCACCTAGGGTGGGGATGGGGAGGAAGGACAGAGACACAGGGAGGCAGAGAGGCAGTGAGAGAGACAGAGCAAAGACAGAGACACGCAGGGAGTAGAATGTACCTTGTCTGTCTGTACTGATGGCCTCTGCAAATACTCAATGACATGTAAATCTGAGGGAACAGTGAGTCACTGATGGGAAAACTGGCTGGAGTTCTGGGCCCTATATTCCTATGCCCACCTCTAAGTGCCTTGGTCAAAGGATTAGTGCTAGACTCCCTGCCCAGGGAAGGATTGCTCAGTAGGCTGAGATTTGACCAGTATCCTCAGCTGGAAACTTCTGAACTGAAGCCTAACAGCCTCAGTCCAGACACCCAAGTACAGCTCTGCCAGGATGGCCCCCACCTCTTAGGTCTAAAAGCTTCAGGGAACTGTGGCACTGGGAATCTTGAAACATTGCCAGTTCCTAAGTGGACCCTTTTAAATTTGTCACTCTCTTCCCTGTGTGTTTCCATGCATCATTCGAAGTTTCCACCTTCTTGGTTTGGGAGTCTGTAGCCTCATTCTTCCTCTTCTCTCTGCTTTCCTCTCTAGCGCAGTTCTGTTCCACCAGCCCAGGTACTTTTCTGGCCATTTTCCCTGTCTAGTGCCTGTACGACTGGTCTACGCTGCCCTCTGGATACTCATGGCTACAACAAGGGAGTACAGGGGGAATACCACTTCCCTCAAGAGTACACAGCTGCTGGCTCAGGGCTGTGCCCACCACCTGCACATCCACAGCCCCACAGCCTTCATCCACGATCTAACACAGGCTACAGGAGAAGCAGGTGAACCTTAATCCCCTGAAAATACTTCTAGGTCCACACAGTGCCTGGGGTGGTCCAGGAGGAAGTAGGGTGCTTTTCAAAAGCTTTCTTCTGATGATTTTGGGACTCTCCATGACTTTCTCCAGTGCTCAGGAGAAAGGGCACCTTGATACTTGATGGCCAGTTCCCATCACACCTTGATATTTGATGACCGGTTCCCATCACAGCACCTTAAAAAGTTTGCACAGACGAAGGAGACCTGCAGTCTTATTCTTTATACATTCCCCTGTACTGCCACAGGCAGTGGCATGTTTGGGGATCCATGTCTGGAAGATGGCCATAGCTATGGCACACTGTTCTACCAACGTCTTCCTCCCCTCAAGTCTGCATAGCCCCTTCAAGCACTCTTGGAAGCTAGCCAGCAGGATGGAAGTTTCCTGGTCAGTTTGAGAGTGATTCCTCTATGTCCTGCAGTATGTGGTTTCATCAGCAGTAGAGTCTTACCATCATCTAGTTGTGGTGAGTAACCAAGCGTAACAACAACACCCTGTATTGTGTTGTTTTGGAGACCTCTGGGGCCTCCCTGACCAATGGGATTTTTATTTAATAACCCATGTATTCTTGGAGTGACATTGCACCGATGCAGGATACGTCCATTCAAACTCTTTTTCTTAAGTTGTATATTGAAATTAGCTTACTAATTAGTAGGTTTTCTTTTTCAAAAAATAATTTATTATTTTTATTTTTTATGTGTATGTATGCCTACATGTGTGTTAGTGCATCCATGTCGTGCAATGTCTGTGAAGGTCAGAGGAAGGCATTGGATCCTATGGAATTGGAGTTATGGACAGTTGTTAATCTGCCATGTGGGTGCTGGGAACCGAACTGGGTCCTCTGCAAGAACAGCCAGTGCTCTTAACTGCTGAGCCATGTCTCCAGTCCCTAATTAGGTTTTCATAAGGCTTTTTTCATATATCCTTAGTTTTGGTTAATGTACACACTACCTCTCCTTTCCCCCACCCCATGCCCCCATTCTTGTTTATTCTTTAACCCTTTAACTCCCAGGAACCCCCACACTACTTTTATTTCACATGTATTCTACTGTTTTTTTTTTGTTTGTTTGTTTGCTTGTTTTTTGAGACAAGGTCTTACTATGTAATCCTGGTGAACCTGGAACTCACCCTGAGGCCAGGCTGGCCTCAAACTCACAGAGAGATCTGCCTGCTTCTGCCTCCTGAGTACTAGGTGTAAAGGTATCACCTCCATGGTCCTCACTTGTTTTAAAGCTTTCATACATGGGTATTGTATGTTGGGCATAAGCCCCCTCACAGCCTCCTTGTGTTGCCCTCCCTGCTCTAGTTGGTCCTCTTTGTCCCTAGAAAGTTTTACTTCAACTTTCATGTTGTTAGCATTTACACAGTTTTATACATGGCATTAATATAGTAATGCATGCATGGTTTATACACACAGCCTTAAGACACATGTATCTATATCTAGGAACTGCACATGAGAGAAAAC